TTAAACAAACATGTATAGGATTGCAGTTATTTTTTTTCGTATTTGTCTTCTATACTTGTTCAAATGTGAATAAATCTTTGCTTTTTGTCACTGACAAATTATTTATAGTTGCATTAGATGGAATTTTCTTAGAAAGTTTTGACCACATTTCAGTATAAGTAATTATCATTGGAAACTATTAGTATTTAAATAATCTTAGTAAAGTACAATACAAAATAAAAATAAATTCTGTGTCAAATTTTCTCAATTTCAAATTCTGGCATAGTTATTTATGTTCACTTCTTTCACAAATCCCCTTGCAGGCATGAATCTTTCTCCTATCAGTTACGGATTAAATAGGAGAGTAGACTGGATGCTGTAGACTTTGGTGGCAACCAGTCTAATAGAAGAAAAACTGAATTTCAAACAGAAGGTAACCAGAAACCACTCGACTATCTTGCTCAAGAAGGCATGCCAATTCACAGAAAATAAAGGAACATGACATGTTTGATATAATTTAATATTAGTCCTTGGGAAATTACAAGGAATGTACTGAAAATAATTATTCCCATTGAAATTTTAAATACCAGGTACATAATGTTGCATAAGACAAGTTTTCAGCTTCAAAATAATGTTGTTGTTTTTTTGTTTTTTGTTTGTTTTTTTTTCCCCTACTAACTCAAGTTTAAATACAGGCACTAGTGGGTACATATACATCTATCTTTGCCATGAGATGAACAATCTGAAGAACTGCAAAGGGTTGTCTTCTTTTTTTGAGTTTGTTGTTAAAGCAATCTATAAGCAGTTTTGGTTAATTAAAACATTCTCTCCTTTTGACCTAAATTAACATATTCAATATACATGGAAAAGACATTACTTCACAAAATAATTGATTCCATTTTGGTCAGTGTACTTATTGAAGTGAGGATGTCTGTGCTTCTTACCCGAGATGCTGAGACTGATTTCCACCAAGCTTTTTGTATTAATCATATATTGTCTATATAGCAAAGTATACTCTGAAAGAAATACTACTTGTTTTATTACCTTGGCTCATGTCAGAGACAAATGTCAGTGGTATGCAGTAAAGTTTTAACTTTCCTGCCAATAATCTTTTTTTTCTTCTTTTTGTTCTCCTTATCACAGATAACAGCTGAATAACACTTTGGCAAAATTACATCTGACAAGAAAATGTATACAAAACGGGAAAAATTTACCCATTAATATTCATTGGCATTTACTGAACATTTATGGAAAACAAGTAATGGATGTGAGCACAGTTACACAATAAAGTAATGCATTTTAAGTGGCATTAGTAATGTGTAACAAGCTGCATTCTAGGTAGACCTGCACAATTGGCAACCCATGAAAGGTAGAGCACATTAAAAATGCATATTATTGTGCTTCTAATATTTGAAATTTCCATGAGAATAAATAATTACTTTCAGCACATTTCTTGTAATTTCAAAGACTAGTAGTATTAAATTATATTAAAAATGGCATGTCTTCTTGAGCAAGGTAGTTAAGTGGTTCCCATTGCCTTCTCTGTGGTTTGAAATTCCGAGTTTTTCTTCTCTTAGACTGATGCCACCTAAGTTTACTGCATCCAGTCTACTCTCCTTAATCTATAACTGATAGGTGAACAATTCATGTCTTTGCAAGGACATTTGTGAAAAAGTGAACACAATTGACTAGGCCATAATTTGAGCTTGGTATGCCAATTCTACTTTCCATGCTGGCAAAAAGATTTGAACCACAAATCTTTAAAGAACAAAAACATGTTAATGTAATATTTTGATTTTTGATAAATTGTGTGCAATTGTTATTAATAACATTTTCTTTATTAACAATAGGTTTCCTACTGTGGATTTTGTCTCTAGTTATCAAAAGAGTGTGTTCTAGAAACTTTTTACTTCATATTATTACTCTGAAAACAGTTTTTTGACATGTCTTAAAGTATGCATTTATTTTTGTAAAGATAATACAGCAAGTGTTTGGGTGATCTTAAAATTTATGAAGTGGAGTCATAAATAAACTTCTGCATTTTTTCTAGAATTCTTCTTGAAAAAACTAGCATGATTTTTATTATTATAAATATTGCTAAAACAACTGAACTCTTTCTTACTATGTTTGATGTTATTAACACATTGTTTTAGTTGATCCATTTTCCTGTTCTCATATGTAATTCCATGAGAGAGAGAGAAAAGTAAGTTGTTTTTTTTGGTTTTTTTTTGGTTTTTTTTTTAAATCAAGTATATAAAAAAAAAATTGTAAATAATATTCAGAATGTTATTGACTCTTAAATTTAAAGGTATATTTCGATACCAGAGTGAAACAGGTTCTCATTTGCTCACCAAAATTAAGCAAAGTTGAGCCTGATCAGTACCTAGATGGGTGACCACTTGGGAATATCAGGTGTCGAAAGCTTGTATATGTGTGGGTGGTGTAATAGATAATGGCTTGGAATTGGAAATTGGAGAGCCGAGTTCCAATTTCAGTCAGGTTCGTTATATTCACATACATGCAAATCACCTTGGGAAAGGTATAAATACACCTCTTCTCCTCCTAGCTATGGATTAATGTTGTATACTCGCAATTTTTGCTGGGGGTAGTCTTGGGGGCAACTATCTTGATTCACTCATCTTCTATCTCTTTTCTTCTGGCTGGGTGTTGAAACGTTTAGTTCAGCAATAAATGAGAAGAACTTCAACAAGAGGGATTTTAAACTTATCTATTTTATTAAACACATCGATGTGTAAATTTGTAACTAGCCAGTGGGGTTGCTCTATCACTCCCACTGGGGAGCAAGGTCCCAGAGACATGAAGTAACCATGTCTAATCTTTATGACATGTAAAGAAATCCCTATTTTATCTACCATTTGACAAAGGTCAGCCTTAGAAGGTCTGTGCCAAAATACACTGCCACTAAAAAAAACAATAATATGAAACTATTATTTAATATTAAATAGTAGGACTTGCATCAGTAAATCTTACTTATTATAAAACACAGGTTGTGTGTGTGTGTGTCTGTACATTTATATATTGGATCGGATTTCCTACATTTTTCAACCGATTTCAACAAAACTTCACAGGACTACTAAAAATTACCTTGCAGTGGTTCTGACAGCGCCAAAAATTGGAAAAACACAATTGTTTTTGCACAAAATCAATTTGAAAACACAATTAAGAAGCATCGCAAGAATGAAAGGGGGACAACTCATATCGAGTTATAATTATTATAAAACCCAGGTTGTTTGTATGTGTGTATGTTCATTTATATATGGGATCGGATTTCCTACATTTTTCAACCGATTTCAACAAAACTTCACTTTTTTTTAGCGGGTAGTGTTTATTATTGTCTTGCGCACTTTTTTTATTTTTACATTCAGAATGCTTAAAAAATTCCATTTACAAGACAATTGTTTATAATAAAATTCTATTCAATCGATAGACTCATAACGATTAAAAACAATGTTTTTGTTTGGGTTTGACCAATTCGTAAAAAAATAACAAAAAACAAAAAAAAAAATAATTAAGACATGCATGTCTGTCAACCTTAAACAGTAATCTTTGTCAATTTTATTTTTCAGTCTTTATGATGGTTGATACTTGATCTATCTCTTACTGCTACATCCCCGGGCAACGCCGGGCTCTACTGCTAGTCATTATTAACTCAATGTTCTTGCAACCCAAAAATATTTTCTGGCTTTAAATAATCTTCAAATGGCTTAATAAGCCATAACAACAAATGCTAAAGCCCATAGCACTGACTTCATTTTGCTGTTATACGCACCAAGCATTGAACACCATTGTAGTGTGTGGTTTACTTTCTAATGCTTAAGCACATTGTGCTCAGAATATTGCTCTAGTAATCACTCTTTTCTAAACAGAATCATTGAAAAACCAAAAAAGAAATCTGAGTCATATGTGAAAAGAATCACACTACATTGTGATGTCTCATAGATGAATGAAATAGATTCTACATTTACTGTGAAAGCCTGATGGCTTAAAACATAACTGGACACCATCAGATGAAAACTAATCAATGTATATAAAACACATGTGTATGCACATATACACATGAACAAAATAAGACAAAAATTAAAACAACCTAGGCCAACCAAATCCAGGGTAAAAAAAAAAAAAAAATGAAACTTATCTTAACAAAAGCAGACACAAAGTGCTCCCCAAGACAAGTAAAATCAATAAGAATTAAAAAGGTGGTGAAATCTAAATAAGAATACAACTCTAGAATGTATCAATGAGACCACTACATCACTGTAACTAGAAGTTTCATGCAAAGGACTACTCCTCAAACAGTTTCTTTGAAATTTCAAGTTATGATGATGTAGTGTCTCATTGAGATTATATATATATATATATATATATATATATATATATATATATATATATATTTTATATACAGTACTGTAAACCTCTAAGATAATATTTAAAGAAGTGTCCCTTTTTTCCAGATAATCATCAAAATCTTAATTAAACTATATATTCATTAAGAGAAACTTTTATTCAATGAATTAACCACTTTAAAGAATTTTATTAAGATGGAATAAAAATATTGATTTAAAATTAAAATGTACAAAAGTAAGTAAGTGAGCCTTGACATTTACACTCTATATTTTTGTTCTACATGGTTGTAACACAAGAGAAAAATGGCTTATGTCTTGGTAGAAAACAGATTCAGACATGTTTTGTGTAAAAAATATCCCAAAAAGAAAATGGCAGCTTTATGAGTCATATATTTAAGAAATAATAGATCTCGGAGTCAGATAACTCTTCTTTTTTTTTTTTTTTTTTTTTTTTTTTTCCTCTCTTGTTGCACCTGTGAAAATTTGGCCTGTCATCCAAGCTACAAAAAGTGCTTGACAAGGTGACAGAGCGGTGCAAGTGTGGTAAGGAACAGGAGATATGTGTATTGGATTGCTTGACTTAAGCAACACTAAGGTGAAAGAAACAGATTAAGGAATTTTATTCCAAGCCCAAAGAAACTGACTACAATGGTTGTCAGTGCAGATCATTTATCAAAATGACACGTGTTCATTTTTTTTTATTTTTTTTTTTTTTGGTAAGCTGTATATACTGCAGTCAACCAATATAACTCATTGTCTATGCAAAAGGGCACTCTTCAATTATTTATAAATGGAAGGCCTTTGGTATGAGAGCATCAAAATCAAAAAGTGGCTGTCTGCAAAAAATAACTGAAAGAGCAATGAGACATTTAGTTCAACAAGCCCAGGCAAATCCTGCTGCGGCCTTTGCGGTTCTCCAAGCCTCCCTGACCATGTTGGAATCGATAGATATACACCTACAGTGCAACAAACTCTGAACGATGCTCGTCTTCATGGTAGAACACCTAGGGAAAAAAACAATCACTGCTTACAAAAAAAAATAGAAACACGATCAGGTCAACTATGCCAACACTCATATTAATAAACTAGAAACATTCTGGCAAAAGGTTTTATTGTTGAATGAGACCAAACTAGAGATTTTGGGGATGAACGATAGGTTGTATGTCTGGCAAGCTCCTAATACAGCTTTAAGATAATTTAGTACCAACTGTTAAACATGGTGGTGGCAGCATTATGATTTGAGTGTGCTTTGCTGCACCTGGAACAATGAAAATAGTCCACATTGATGGCAATTTTGAACAAGTGTCTTGCCCTCAGTTCAAAAGTTGGGTTTAGATCAGGGCTGGATCTTCCAACAAGACAATGATCTGAAGCATCAAAGCAAATCCACAAAAGAATGGGTTTGAAAAAAGAAATTTGAAGTCTTGGAATAGCCTAGTCAAAATCCTGATATAAACCCAATTGAAAATCTGTTGTTCAAATTAAAGAAGGCAGCACATGCAAAAAACCCAGGTAATATTGAACAAGTGTAAGAGTTTCACCGAGAAGAATGGTCAAAAACTGACACTCACTACTGCCAGAATCTCAAAAATTATAGAAAAAGACTGGTTGACATTGTGACCTCAAAAGAGAAAGTCACCAAATATTAAATGTAAGGTTTCATTTACTTTTGCACATCTTAATTTTAAATCAATATTTTTATTCCAGCTTAATAAAATTCTTTGAAAGTGGTTGTAATTTGTTTAATAAAAGTTTTTTTCTTAATGAATATATAAATTAATTAAGCTTTGTTGATTATCTGAAAAAAAAGAGACAATTTTTTTTTTTTTTTTTTTTTTATTTATTATCTTAGGGGTTCACTTACTTTGTGCAGCACTGTATATATGAGAGAGATAAGCAGGAAATAAAATTGCACCACCCAGAAGAATGGTAACTGATTTTAACATGACAATTTGTGCATACTAGGATATTGATATTCTGACTAAATTTTTGATCTTAAGTCATCTTATGACATAGTAACACTCGTACACCATCTGTACCTGAGCCTTATGTGCTAAAAGTCCAGTACTAACAAATGTCATCCACCAGATATACAAATGCTTTTTTATTTTTAATTAAACATTTTACTGGAGTTAGGTTATAGGCCTTTAAGAAACTCGGTGATCATTTCATGCTATGCATGTTTGACCTGATACATCCGTACTGCTCTGATGTTGGCAATAGTGCCCAAATGAACATTTCTTCTCCTCTAGACCAGGCTCTGCATGTCTATATAGTACAGACACTCTCCAAAAACATCAATTTGTTAGGAGAGTGGTAGCAGATTATGAAGCATCTATTGCACAGTTCAGAAAAAAAAAAATGTTATCCCCAGAATGTTAACACAGACTGTTGGGAATATTGTAGTTGCAGCAGTTGTATGGACAGAAGGACACACACACATGCACTCTTTCACTTATGCCACAACTCCATCATGCACATCTCCATTAGTGCTGTGTTTCAATTTGGATATTGATTGGCATTCTGTAGTGTTCCATGATGAGAGCAGGGTCAGCTTTCATGTAAGTGATAGCGGTTTGCCCACAATATACAGGCCCAGCATTTGGCATCATAGTGCAGAGGAGCATAAGTTACAACTTTCATTCTCTTTTTGGGTTTTGTGGATGAAATATTGAGCAGCACCATGTAGATCCAGGTAATTGTTCAACCCAATTTGCTGTCATTCCTACAAAAAGAAAACTCTGCTTTTCTAACAGAATAATGCCTGCCTATATGATGCCCAAGTTACACAACATACTCTACAAAATGTTCAACAATTTTCTTGACCAGCACACTTTTTTTTTTAATGCAATATCTCTTCAGGCCATAAGTGAATGTCGCCCTCTGAGATTCTTTGTCTTCATTATCTGTGAATTACGATGACTTCTTGTGAAATATAGGAGAATGATTTCCTGTTGCCTTCTTCAGTTTTGAATTGAGAGTTGTCTTTCTCTGAGACTGGTTGCCACCTAACGCTAGGGTGCCCAGTCTACTCTAACCTATAGCCGGGTTGAGAAG